CCAAGGGGCAGAGCAGACCCTGCAGCTTGGCAGAAGGGCCCAAAGAGGAGTTTTTAGGGTTTAAAATGTAACACAGTGTGGTAATGTAGTGATTCTTATAGGCTGTACGGAAATGCTGTAGGATTTGTATATTGTACTAGACTGGTTAGTGAGAATTAGAATATTCAACACAGAAGAAGATTTATTGTATTGCAACGGGAACCTCGCTCTCTTAGCTCTTGTCTTTTACTCTGTTATCCCTTTTACTCTCTTTTGCTTTTGCTCCCTTACCATCTTCCTCTCTTACCCTCTCATCCTCTCTCCCCCTCTCCTCTCCCAGCCCTGCTCCAGCTGTGTTTGACCTCCCAGCAGGGCCCTGCACTTGGCCCTTTGCAATGAACCCCAAGTTCCTGACCTGGCTGCAGAGATCTCTCATCTCTGTTCGTCCCAACCATGCTACCCCCCGACGCTCCAACACATCCCTCTGCCTCACATCCTCTTCCTATCACATCCCCCCCATACTCCCCAAACTCTGCTCTTTGCAGCATCCCCACGACCCCACATCCCCCTCCATGATCCCACATCCCCTCATCCCCCTGCTGCTGCTCCCCGGTGTCCGGTATCCCCTCCCGGGTGTCTCTCACCTCCTCCTCCCGCCTCCACTCCACCTCCCGCTGCTCCAGCTCGTCCCTGGCCCGTGCCCAGTCCGCCGTGAGCTTCCTGATGTCCTCGCTCAGCGCCGCATTGGCCACGTTGGCCTGTTCCAGCTGCTCCCGCAGCATCGAGTTCACCTGCACCAGGCTGCTGCTCCTGGGATGGGGATCAGCAGGGTCAGAATCCCCTGGGAATCCTCACATTCCCCTTGGGATCCCACCCATCCCTGCTGCTCCTGGGATTGGGGATCAGCAGGGTCAGAATCCCTCAGGAATCCTCACATTCCCCTTGGGATCCCACCCATCCCTGCTGCTCCTGGGATGGGGATCAGCAGGGTCAGAATCCCTCAGGAATCCTCACATTCCCCTCGGGATCTCACCCATCCCTGCTGCTCTTGGGATCGGGGATCAGCAGGGTCAGAATCCCTCAGGAATCCTCACACTCCCCTTGGGATCCCGCCCATCCCTGCTGCTCCTGGGATCAGGGATCACTGGGGTCAGAATCCCTCAGGAATCCTCACATTCCCCTTGGGATGCCACCCATCCCTGCTGCTCCTGGGATTGGGGATCAGCAGGGTCAGAATCCCCCAGGAATCCTCACATTCCCCTTGGGATCCCACCCATCCCTGCTGCTCCTGGGATCAGGGATCAGCAGGGTCAGAATCTCCCAGGAATCCTCACACTCCCCTTGGGATCCTGCCCACTTCTGCTGCTCCTGGGATTGGGGATCACTGGGGTCAGAATCCCTCAAGAATCCTCACATTCCCCTTGGGATCCCGCCCATCCCTGCTGCTCCTGGGATTGGGGATCACCGGGGTCAGAATCCCTCAGGAATCCTCACACTCCCCTTGGGATCCTGCCCACCTCTGGTGCTCCTGGAATCCCAAGGAATCACCAGGGCCAAAATCCCCTGGGAATCCTCACATTCCCACCCACCTCTGCTGCTCCTGGGGTTGGGGATCACCAAGCTCAGCATTCCCCAGAAATCCTCACATTCCCCTTGGGATCCCGCCCACTTCTGCTGCTCCTGGGATCCCAGGGGATCACCGAGCTCAGCATCCCCCAGAAATCCCCACATTCCCACCCACCTCTGCTACTCCTGGGGTTGGGGATCACCGGGATCAGAATCCCCTGAGAATCCCTAAACTCCCTGGGATCCTGCCCACCTCTGCTGCTCCTGGAATCCCAAGGAATCACCAGGGCCAGAATCCCCTGGGATTCCTCACATTCCCACCCACCTCTGCTGCTCCTGGGATTGGGATCACAGAGCTCAGCATCCCCTGGGAATCCTCATGTTCCCCTTGGGATCCTGCCCACCTCTGCTGCTCCTGGAATCCCAAGGAATCACCAGGGCCAGAATCCCCTGAGAATCCTCACATTCCCACCCACCTCTGCAGCTCCTGGGATCCCAGGGGATCACCGAGCTCAGCATCCCCCAGGAATCCCCACATCCCCGGGATCCCGCCCACCTCTGCTGCTCCTCCTCCAGGCGGATCAGGGCGTTCTCCAGCTCGTTGCTGCTCTCCTCCTCGGGCTGGGAGCCGCTGGCATCCAGCTGGATCTGTGGGAACACCCCCCTGCTGGCCATCACCCCGATTTGGGATTTGGGGCAGGGCACCCCCAAAGCCTCCCTCACCGTCAGCCTCTCCTGCTCCAGCTCCGTCGCCTTCTCCAGCAGCTGCTGCTCCACCTCCCCGCATTTCTTCTTGTACTGCAACACCTGCGGGAGGGACAGGGGGTGACACCCATGGGGGGCTGTCCCCAAATTATCCCAGTGTAGTAAACTCTTCAGGTTTAGC